CACTAAATGACAATACTCAGACAACTAACATCACTGATGTATTGTTTTATGTTAGAAAAGCTCTCCATGATCTGAATTGTCTTTCTGAGCTTGATTTCATCTTCTAGTCCACAGAATCACAGAATCATTAAGTTGGAAAATACTGCTAAGATCATCAAGTCCAAGCCTTTACCCAGCACTGCCAAGTTCACCACTAAACCATGTTCCTGTACCTCAGTGGTGACTCAACCATTTCCCTGGGCAGCCTTTTCCATTGTTTGACAACTCTTTCTGTGAATGAATTTTTCCTAATATTGAATCTAAACCTCCCCACCCCCATGCCAGCATAACTTGAGGCAATTTCCTTTTGTTCTTTTGCTTGCTACTTGGAAAAAGACACTGATCCCTATCTCACTGCAACCTCCTTTCAGGTAGTTGTAGAGATCAATGAGGTCTCCCTTGAGCCTTCTTTTCTCCAAGTTAAACAACATCAGCTTCCTCAGCCACTCTTCACAAGACCCCATGTATCTCACAGTATCCTTCTGGACAAACTGTCCGGCCCACAGCTGGATAAACACATCATGTGGTAGGTGAGCAATTGGCTCATGGTCGAGCACAGAGGGTAACAGTGAATTGAGTAACATCAGATTGGTGACCTGTCACTAGTGGGGTTCTGCAGGGCTCCATCTTGGGCCCTGTGCCCCTCAACATTTCCATAAAATATTTGGACATAGGACTGGAAGGGATACTAAGCAAGTCTGCAGATGACACAAAACTTGGGGGAGCTGTTGACTCCGTCAAACACAGGGAACCCTACAGAGAGATCTCAACAAATTGTAGGACTGGGCAATCACCAAACATATGCAGTTCAACAAGAGAAAGTGCCAGATTCTGCACCTGGGGTGGGGCAACCCTAGATGTACATACAGACTGGGGAATGAGATGCTGGAAAGCAGTGCCATGGAAAGCGACCTGGGGGTCTTGATCGATGGCAAGATGAATATGAGTCAGCAGTGCCCTGGCAGCCAGGAGGGCCAACCGTGTCTTGGGGGGCATCAGGCAAAGCATCGCCAGCTGGTCAAGGGAGGTGACTGCCCTGCTCTTCTCTGCACTGGTGCAGCCTCACCTTGAATATTGCGCGCTGTTTTGGTCACCGCAATGTAAGAAAGATATTAAGCTATGGGAGAGTATCCAAAGGAGGACAACGAAAATAGTGAAGGGCCTTGAGGGGAAGCCAGAGGAGGAGCGGCTGAGGTCACTTGGTCTGTTCAGCCAGGAGGAGTCTCCCTCATTGCAGTCTACAACTTTTTGTGAAGGGAGGAGGAGGGACAGGCACTGATATCTTCTCTGTGGTGACCAGTGACAGGACCTGTGGGAATGGCCTGAAGTTGTGTCAGGGGAGGTTTAGGTTGTATATTAGAAAAAGGTTCTTCACTGAGAGGGTGACTGGGCACTGGAATAGGCTTCCCAGGGAAGTGGCCACATCCCCAAGCCTGACGGAGTTCAAGAAGTGCTGGGACAATACTCTCAGGCACATGGTGTGATTCTTGGGGATGGTCCTGCACAGGGATAGGAGTTGGACTTGATGATCCTTGTGGGTCCCTTCCAACTCGGCATATTCTGTGATTCTGTGCTTATTGTGTGAGAGCGTGTAGGAACATCTGGCTTTATATATCATTCCTGTAGCTAATCAGATATTAACTGGAATCTACCTGTCTTGGAGGACTGGTTATAGTTTTATTTTGCTGCTACCAGTAGCTTAAATTCAGCCCAGGAGTAAGGGGTTGATCCAAATGCCATTGAACATCCACTCTCTCAGAAACTGGAGAAGACAACAAGTTTTAGGTTCAAAACAAGCACAGCTCCAGTCCGGCTTCCCCTGTATCCTGAGGCCAGGTGCACACTCAGTGAGGACGTTCACATAAAATATTGGTTTAGGACCACTTCTGCTCACTATTGAAAGTGATGACTATCTTCCAAGAGTAATCACTTCTTTCTATGAATTGAACAGATTTCATTCAAGCTCCTAACAGGAAGACACCAAAGTGATAAAAGAGGACACTGAAATGCTCTCTCAGCCCTGTGGGCGATGCTTGCCTGGTGAAACAGAGACTGAAAAGACAATGTGGTACCAAGTAGTTCAAATGGGGTTGCAGTAGTTCAAACAGAAGGTTAAAAATGTTCCTTCCCAAGGTTTCAAGTTTTTCTTCTCATCTCTTTAAATCTGTTTTGTAAGATACTGACTGGGTGATAATGAATGCTATCCATTTACTGCGCTTGCTGAATATATTGATTAATTATGCCCAACACTTTGAAGATAAAGTACTGTGTTGTTAATAAACACAGTCTAATGATTCTCTCCTATGTTTTTGAGCACTCCTCTTATTTTGTCCAAGGCGTAAATACCTCACTGCAGCTACAGGCAGCCAGGCTGACCGGCTGCATGGGCCACATGCTGATTTCTCCTGAAGGCTTTCACATCAATTGTTCCATGGCCATTTCCATTCCGTTTCCCTCCATTGTCAACACATCGTGCTATCTCCTGCTGTTGTTTCCTTGCTTGCTTGTTCAGGGCCAGGATAAGGGAATTTCAATAATTTCTGGTGAAAAGGGCCCTTTCTTTGCAGCAGGCTGCCATTTCCCTCTGCCTAATACACAAAGAAGGCGGCCAACAGGAGCACAACTGCTTTCATTGGCTGCTAACAGCCTTTGAGTGGAACAAAATGACCAAAAGAGAAGAAACACTAATTTCCTCTTCACTCTCCCCACACTGCCTCAAAGTAACATTAGGGGGGCAATTTTCTTTGAGGAAAGAAAGAACTTTTCCTGGCCACAGGAGTGTGACAGAAGAGGCTGCTGAAATCAGCTGTTAGCACAGATTGGTATGTTTTTTACACCTAAAAAGACCTTTCATTTAGTTTTCTCTCTCGGATTCCTACAGCACGTTTTGAAAAGACAATGAATATTGCTTTCACATATAATTGCAGGAGTGCACCACTTTAAAGGTATTCAGAACCAGGCAAAGCACCACAGGAAAACAAAGAAACAATGTGAACACTTAGCTGCTAATACGAGCGAGAATTAAACCTTCTGTAAGACACCGGTGTCAACCTCACCTGAGTTAAGAGAGCTGCTCCATTAGCTGATAGAAACACGGAGCTCTTGGGAACTGACCCTGCCAACACTTACACGTGCTTCGTTTTAAACTTATAAAATTACTCCCATTTGGGCTATCAATATGCACAGAGTTAACAACAGGCTGTAAGCGTTGGTGAGACCAAGACCTCAGTCTGCTCCTCTACCAGCCACCCCAGGGGATCAAGACTGCACAAGTTCTCAGTGGGTCACATATCTCAAACATTCAGAGAGAAAAAAGATTTTGGTTGTAAGCTGTTGCTGTTATGAATAATACCCAAAGCAACTAAAAACAAAGCAAAATATCTCCTTCACTTTGTGTAACGCACACAATAGTCATAGGGAAATATTAATAAAAGTAGCAAAATCAGCCAGCTCTTTTTCAGTGCCTAAAACTGTGAGAGCAACCATATGAACCCTTTCCCACACCTGAAGCATACCTAAATCTCTCTCCTGTTTCAAACGTTGATGCTTACCAACCTCACTGAGATAACATTTTTCCTTTCCGACACCAATCTGGCTACTTTTACTTCTATACCCATTTTTACAAAATTTCCAGGACTTCAACATATGTGAAACCTGGAATAAGGTCATGGTTCCAAATTTGTTATAGGGGAACAGATAAAATCCAAAACATCACCGCATAAACCTTATTTCATTAGGAAACCATGGCAAAAATAAGAATGTATGTCAAACTACAAAAATTGCTAAGGGGTTAAGAGCAGATGCAGTATGTGAAGTTATTTTTCTTTCTATCCTTCTTCTCTAAGCTAGATTTAAATGCACTCTACAGCAATACTTCTTATAACACTGTAATATAGCACTGTGATCCATGGCAGTAACCATTTTGAATATGATGCTATTAACATACAGAAGTCATCTGTCTGTTGCAATTCCATCAAACTACTCCATTCTGAGGTCAAAAATGTTTTTCCTCTCTCCGTCTGCTATAATTTTGGAGATTCATTGAATAAAGAAGACAAAAATTCTAAATACTGAGCAAATCTATTTTAAGAAGTGTATTTATCGCAAATCTAATGTGTTGGGTGACTAATAACATACATGTGTGCACTGCGCTTGCCAAAAAATATCAACATTTCCAAATAGTTACCACATTTACAATTAAAATAATGTATTTGCCAAATGTTTGGTTGTTTTTCTTTGTTTTATTCAAATGATGGTTTGTCTTCTGGTGCAAGTGCAGAACAAAATTTCCTGAGTATCAGAAGTAAAACATTAGGGAGAGATTCTAGTGTCTGATAGAGCTTCATTCAGCTCAGCCACACAATATTGCTTAGATAATATCAGGTTTGTCATTGTTGTAGGAGGCCTAACAGCATCCTAACAAGGAAAACTGAAATGAGGCTTTGAATTTTGCCTGTCACGAGTCCCTTGCTTGTCAGTCACAATTCTCCAGCCATTTCTCATGTTGCATGATTTTTGGCTTGTGCTGACTCTCCTGCTGCCTCTGTCCTTCTGTAAGCGATGGAGGCAGGAGAAATGAGCGGCAGCGGGAGTTCACACACACAGTGCTCTTACACCCCATGATAGCTGGTGTGCAGAAAGCTTAATATGTGAATGTTCCTACTGCATTATTGACTTCTGCTCTGAGACTGGCTGGGGAGTAGAATCATACAAAAAAAATTAGAAAAACAGATGATCAAAGAAAGATTAAAACTGCATTGCCTCTTTGTAACAATTTCATTCTTTAAGCCTCCCACCTACTTCAAGTACAGACAGCTGCAACTTCAGAGGGACATAGAAGATTAAGCTCAAGCATTGTTAAAACCACAGATTTCAGAAGAGAAAACCCAAATGAAGCACCTGGTGATTGATTCCCATAACTTTTTCTCCCTCTAACAGCGAAAAGGGATGTTGAGGCTTACCCAGGGGTTGATTTAGTGGTCTGCTGCCTGCATGTTTCATTCTCCCATCCCATTCTAATCCATGTGCCACTGTTGGCACCATCGTGACATTGTGGTAAACCAGTTCCAGAAGCAATATCATCAGGCATTCTGGAAGCAGAAAAAAAAAGATCATTTTTTTTGTTATTGTTTTATGAATGCTGGCTCCCAAAAGAGGCTCATTATACGATCAGATATTACCAAAGTTGGACCAAGATTCTGGGGAATTACATGTCCAGAATCAGGGAAGAGATGGGGACCATCCATCATTGAAGAGAACCTTAAACCAGCTCAGCTATAATATAAAACCCCTCTTGAAGAAATTACTTATCAAGGACAGGGAAGGGGAAGGACAGTAAAACAGAGGGACAAAGTATTCATTAATCATCATTTGCTACTCTCAGTGTTCATTTACTCACTTCCATGTAGCACCATGCAGAGAGAAGTGTTTGGGAGAGGTGCCAAAGGCATCAGAAGTGTAGGTAGAGTGAAGATTTGGGAGATAGGAGTTCCCAGCTATAAGGTCCATTATGATCTTTATGCTGCTTTAGTATGCCTTTAGGTAAACAGACTTCAGACTCAATCCCTCTGCTCAGGCTTCATGGTGTTACGTAAGAGATGGCTGCCCCAGGAGTCAAAGCACTGGGTTAGAATTGCACTGACAAGGGTATTTTAGTTTGGGCATCAGGTAGCTATGCAGGACTTGGCTTAATTCCAGCATGTAAAAGGAATGTATCTTTGGTTAGACCTCTACATGTATGTTTGGATATTTTCTCTAATGAAAGTGAAGTTTATCCTCCTGGATACTTATTTTGCTAGCTACTTAAGGTTATATTTTATTACTTTTATATATTTTTCTTTCTCAGTCAGCTAAAGAAAGAGGTTAAATACAAAACAAAATTCCCACAAGACTAAATAACATCTTTGGGGTAATTTAAAATTGGCATAGGTCATCTAATCATAGTAGGCTTTACTTTCAATAGAAGGATTTCCTTACTTAAGGAAGCAAACCCATCTACTGCAAGACTCCACACTTCCCTTATCATAATGGATCAATTCTTCTCCATTTCAGTGCACCATTTCCCCATAGTCCTTTTATCTCAGACTTCCAAGTTTCATAAAACAGCCATACAACTTGCAGAGCACCTGAGGCAATCTTTCCACTGTATTCACCACTGGTAGAAACAGCTCAGAAGGATCACAGCCACTGTTAAAATCTGCATTTCAGGGATGAAGCTTCCCACTTACACAAGTCCAGAAAATAATCAGAGACCTAGAAAATTCATTCTACATGATAAGTTAGAATGAATGGGGGAGGAGAAGTGTAAAGAAATGAAGGCTTAGAGAAGGTATAATCACAATTTTCAAATACATAAAGGGTCTTTGTGAAGAGACAAGAACAACCTACCTTCTTTAAGCATCCTTGTTAACATAAGGGACAAAGTATTTCATCTGCAGTAAGGAAGATTCAGATGGCATATTAGGATGACAATAACAGTTAAGCAGTAGATAGATGACCCGCAGAATAATCAGACCTCCATCAGTGGAGATTTTTAGCAGATCACAGATTCATAGAATTATGGAATACTTTGGGTTGGGCCTTTTAAAGCTCCTCCAATCCAACTCCCTTGCAATAAGCAGGAACATCTTTGACTAGATCAGGTTGCTCAGAGCCCCATCCAACCTGACCTTGAATGTTTCCAGGGATAGGATATCAACCACCTCTCAGGGAAACCTCTACCAATGTTTCACCATCTGTGCTGGTTTAAGAGTCAACCAGCAGGGGAAATGAACTCAACTCAAAGGAGAGACCACAAGTCAGAATAACAATTTATTAAAACAACACAAAACACAAAACACAAAACACAAAACAACTGTCCAAGCGTGCTTGGCCCCGGCAGATGAACCTCAGGATTAAAGGGTGGGCTCAGTTCAGCGCACGCTGTGTCTCACCTAAAAAATCCACTGCGCAGGCTCGAAGGGTTAAGGACCCTTCCCAAATCTTCGCTCGCGAAGACTGGCCATTATTATTATTAAATTAAAATAAT